TTCGTGTCTAGAACTGAAAAATGCCTCGTTGCATTACATGGCTCAGCTTGGGGGGGGAGGAGGTTCTTGAAATTTGTGTTTGGAACTTGGATTAAATGGCTTAGCAGGGGGGGACGTTAAATGGCTTGGGTTCTTGGCGTTTTTTGGGAAGGTGTCCAAGTAGAGGTCTTAGGAAGACAAGGGAGCACGTTGAAAATGGCTCAAGCCATTTTCGCCCCCCCCCCCCTAAAGCATGGGCGATGCTTTAGCCAAAACTCCTCAAAGTTCTCAAAGGGGGTTATGTAGGGGCTTATATGTCGCGTTTTCTTAGGGGGATGCTAGTACGTTAGACTTTAGCTCATTTATTGTTTTTCTTTTGATGTTAAGCTGCCGGGAGCAAAATCCTTGGACATGGGTGGCGTGCCTTTTGTCAGATTTGTGTACTGCTTGTTAGTATACACCCTAAATCCTTTTATACATTGATTATACTATCCCCTACTAACAACGAGTAAGTTGGTTCTGGCTTTGTTATCAGGAAGCCTTAGGATGTAGAGATTTTGGTTATGGCGCTGGTTAGTCCTCAAAGAGGCTTTGCTAAAGGGCTAGCATAACTCCTAGCACCCAGCGTGGGAACTGTTACTGTAAGGGCATGCAATGACCCATGCTATGCCTCAACTTTCAGGGTTGTGGTGTCTTTGGCCTACCTAGCCTAGCTTGATTGAGGACAGGATTTAGCTCCTTGAGCCGCGACAGCAATCCTGCCCCCAAATGCGGCGGTTTCCATGTACAGGGTGCCCCAATGTGTAGGCCCCCTGAGACGGGACCCTTAATTTTCGGAAGACCCCATGTCTAGCTTTCTTGGTGGGTGTGTGGACCGCATATAGAATCTGGCTACTCCAGCAATGCGGGTAGTTCCCAGAATTAGGGTCCCATCTTGGTATTACTAGATATTATAAGTGCCGTAATATAATTCGTAAACAAAGACGCCCATAATTTTGATCATGATTCATGTAGCTAGGAATTGCCCCTTGCAGTCACAGCAGCTTGTCTCGCTTCTTAGCTCTACCATATGAGCTATAATCTAAACTCCCTCAAGGGGGTTGTACAAGGGATTATACAGGGGTGTACACAAGGAAGCAGTACAGGGGATATTAAGTTATTAAGCGGGATACTAGGAGTTTAGACAAGGCTCATGCAATTGTCGTCGATGGCGTTTTCGTAGATGAGGAGGTGCTGCCAACGTGAAAGCTGAGGCTGATGAGCCAAAACAACCTTCTGCGCCATCAGATCGTGACGGGCAAGGACTCTGCAATGTTACGGTATAACATACTATTATATACTAGAATATCTATGTTTCAGCGAGATGTTTGCTTGCCTTGGCCTTCTTCTGCAAGGAACCATATTCGTCCAGTTTCTTGAAGCAACAGTTGCTGCTCTTCTGCATCCTTTCCTCATCTTCCTCCCAGCGCAGTCTGCCGCAGGAACCGGAGGTCAACAACATGCAGGAGGCGGAACGATTTTGTCAGCAGAGAGCGCAAAGTTGAGCTAGACAGACTTGACACCTCATTCGTCCTCTCTTACGCAGACAAAAGGAATGGCTGCCTGATGAGGTGGGAGCTGTACCATGGATGGCGTACGTCCCAGTGGCGGGTGCTTCAGCTACATCATTAGGAGGATTGTCAAAATTGTGGTCCCTTTTTGGGTCCCCTAAATTAGGCCCCTAAACTAGGCCCCGTATTATAATAGGGACCCAAAAAAGGGACCATAGTTTTGACAGTCCCCCATTAACTTTGGATGTTGGCTTGGGTCTGCGCTCGGTCGGGCTGAGCGATACTGTCAAATCTGCATGAGGTTCAAGCCATGAACTGCGCTGGTCTACTTGAATAACTTACTTGGGGGTAGTAGGGAACATGCGAATATAATCCCAATATAACTCATATAACATATTCAGATTCAGTTGCTCCCTACTAATTCCTAGTAAGATAAGATTTGCATGCATGCAAGAGTTAGCTACCAGGAACTCCTTCAGAAGATTGCCTGACTCCTCCAACCCCTTACATATGTTGTAGGCATGTTATAGGGTTTGTACAGGATTATCCAATGGGGAAGAACATGGAACATTCTTGTAGAAACGCAGCTGAGGCATAACGGGCTATGTCCAGGAGCCGAGTTGTGCTGCAAATGCGATGCTGGATTGCTAAGTTGCTGCTAAGGTACTTAAACTAGGTGACCATATCATGGGTATGTAGTAAATGATAGGGTCTCCGCCTTATTAGGAACTGAATTCAAGTCCCTGAGCAAAAAAAGGAAACCCAGAACTTCAATCAAGCTCCTAAACCCTATAGTTAGAATATGGCTTTGGGTATACTGTAATAAGATCCCCATATATCCCATTCTATCTATTCAAGGGTGACTATAACCCAGGATCAGAAATCGGAACATCAGCTTAGCACGACCGCCAGCTTCGGTGGAATGATGAAAATCCAGCCCCTCACTTCTTGCTAAGCTGGGGAACTTGACTTAAACTACTACAATTAGGAAACCCTACTATTTACCATATACCCATGATATGATAACTTGATTTGAGTTCCTTAACAGCAAACTAGCAAAAGGCCTTGCGGTCTGCAAGCAGGATATTTGCTAGTACTTTGCCTTGTGTCTACTGGCTAAGGTCCGTTCAATTACATCAAGCCTAGGATGGACATGGTTACTACAGCTGCTAACCGATGGTCATCATTCTTGCTCTGACTAATCACCGATGCTCTATACACCCTATATGTATATACATATATACATGTAATCTCCTACATCTCCCTTGATGCGACCCCACCCCGGCATGCTTCGTTCTTGCCTGCTCATGCTTACACTTTGCATCCTTCTAGTTGCCATGCCATGAGCGTCATTATTTCCGTCATAAACCCTAAAGCTCCAACTCTAAATTCTAACCCCTATGAAGGTGTTAGTTCCAAACTTGCTACTGCGATGGATATCTGTGGCCCTGCTGGTAGATTTCTCGATTTTTTGAGGTGTTCTCTCTTATCCAGAGTAGACCCTTTCGGGAAAGCTCTATGAACTGCTACAAATGCCTGCATGTCCTCAAAACCACACATAGGAACAAGGGGGGAGATGCATGCTGACCAGGAGCCTTTGTCCCCGGGTCGGAGCGAAGTGGCGCACGGCTCCGCGCAGCACGGCAGAAGAGTACGCCACTACTTTGGTTACATTCTGGGTATGAAGCAGGTCGTTGCCATTTTCTTTTCCGTTATCCCTATATTACCCCCCTATGTCACCCTTTATAAACCCTATATAGACCGATTATAGAAGATTTCTTGCACCGATCTTTGAGCTGGGACTGAGTCCTCAGTGGTGAAGCTTTCCGCCCTCAAACCCTCTGGTCATTGTGTCGCTCACTGGAAGTTTGCATGGCGCTTAAATTACCACCCCCCACCTCCCTATTGATAAATACTCGCATTGTGCTATAATACTAGAGTATATTGGGCATATAACCCCAAACCCTAAACCCTAGTTGGGTTTTAAGAATAAGGGGAGGGGATTTGCGTCCCACCAGAATCCCATATGGGTGTTGTGTCAGCCCTTGTCTCCCCGGAGTACCAGTTGATGTCCATCAATTCAGACGTAGTCCCGCACGAAACAGGGGCACTTCAGATGAACAGCTGCAACCATCATATCTTCTAGCATACTTTTACTGTTATTACTATTGGTACAACTATTACTAATACTAGTATTACTAAAGTTTCCCATTGCTACCATTATTATTTCCTCGGTAACCTTAACTTAAACCCTGAAGCTCTAGACCTCTATGAGCTGTAGCCTAAACTCCTAGCATCCCCCTTAAGAAGCCCTATCATAATCCCCTAGATGATCCCCTATATAATCCCCTTTAAGGAGTTTAGACTATAGTACATATAGCCCCAGACACTAAACCATAAAACCCTAAAACCCTAAAACCCTAAACCCTCAAAACCTGAAACCCTAAACCCCATATGTCGGGACTCCAGTGCACAGCCTACAACCCAGGGAGTGGACGGAGAATTCCACCGCTGCGGACTGCGGCACATCGGTGATGCTTCGGAACTTACCGCCCCTTGGAGCAAGGCGGTAGTCCATAGGATTTAGGGGTTTTAGGGTGTTAGGGTTTTAGGGTTTAGGGTTTTAGGGTTTTAGGGTTTAGGGTTTTAGGATTTTAGGGTTTAGGGTTTTAGGGTTTTAGGGTTTTGGTGTTTGGGGTATATAGTAGGTATACAAGGGTCCCAGGGCGTAGTCAAAAGTTTGGAATGCTTATTTGCAAAACTGGTGTCCCAATCCTTCTCATGGGAGCTCCAGAGCCCTAAGCCCTAAACCCCTAGTCAGAGCCATAAGCCTATGTGCGCATTTTGGATCATATAGGGTAATATAGGTTATATAGGGATAATGGAACAGAAAATGGAAACTACTAAACCCTAAGCCCTACTATAATGGGCTATATAGGGCCTAAACCCTAAACCCCAAACCCCTAAACTCCCTAGTTTCACTGGCGTCGCCTGCAAGGGTTGATGCAAGGGCCGTGCTGTAAAGCATCTTCGGGGATGCCAGCCTTTGGAGAAAACGTCCTGTAAAGAAAACACCCTGGTGCTCAGGAAGGAATGGGGGAATGGATTTTTAGGGATTAGTATTGGAGATTGTACAGTGACTACAAAAGGGATCCATTCCCAGAATTCCCTCCTAAGCACCAGGGAGAAAAACCTTGTTTCTGGAAGCCCCCAGAAGTTGTCGAGTTTGGGGCTGTTTTTTTTGTTGCTTTGCTGGTGACTCTGCGGGCCCAGGAACAACTACACACGCTCGAAACTCTTGGAGATGTTGGACTCCGAGGGCTTTGCCGGGAAGTACAATTTCGTGTGACTTGCCTGTGACTGGGATATTCCTGAAAATACTTGTTTGAATATTATGAACCATGATCCTGATTAGATCTTCCCTATAAAGCCATAGACATGTTCTGTATGGGTCCCCTAAATTTATGCCAGTGGATAGTTCTGCAATTCTACCAAGGAGTGTGCAGGCGGTACCATAGGTGTTCTTTCTGCAGAATAGCTTTCATTGTCAACCTGATGTGGAGAATCACTTCCGCGGGCTTCGGCTTCAGATATTTGAACATCAGTCACCGTGAAGGGTGGGTTAACTGATTCTATCTGAGACCCCAAAGTATGTAGAATAACAGCCTTATTGGCGATGTAACTGGTCTTGGGGTCATTATTTTGCCTTCTTTTGGTGATGCTTTAAGGCTTTAAGGTCATGCTTTTACCTATCTGTGGGTTCGAGGTAGACGCGGAGGCCTGCACTGCTGGCTGAGGTACTTGCCAATTGACTTCCACACGCAGGCGGCCATGCCTTTGCTTGCAGCCAACGACATCAGCGCATGTTACCCTACTGGGGCGGAATATGAGAATATGTTATGGCATTTAACTGGTTTGCTGTTGAGGAACTTAGATGAGGTTAGGATGCTATGGGTATACAGTCATTAATAGGGTCTCCTGGTCATAGCATTGAATTCACGTTGCTTACCAGCAAGCCAGCAGTGGATGTTACAGGAAGTTAAAGCATACTTCAGATATCTCTCCTCAGCTTTCGTGGGTCATTGTGGTACACCCCTGTAGTACCCCTGTAGTATGAAGAGGCTTCTCGGCACACGCTCCAAAAGGTGTAGCTGAGGCTCAAGTTCCTCTAAACAGATTTGAGAATACGCACGACGCTAAATCCACAGAAGGATTTCTCAAAATGACCCCTATCGAGTCCCTCATGACCCTAAGGAGGCTCAATAGTCCTCTTATAATCCATGTATGTAGAACCCTAAGCCCTAAACCCCTACATTAATATGTTAAGCAGCGCCTCCACTTACTGGCAAGGCCAGCCTGGGCTATGCTTTTGTGAACCTGGTGGAAAGTTCCCATGTCTACCAGATCCAGGAGAAGCTCACAGGCGCTGTGCCTAGAACAAAGGTGGTTTAAGGGTTTAGGGTTAAGGGTTTAGGGTTTAGGGGGCCCCAGGCCTAAATTCCCTATAATACGGGGTCCTATATTTGGGTTCCTATTATAATACGGGGCCCTATATTAATTTCCCCCATTTTGGGAACAGTAATTTAGGGAAACTTACAATTGTTGTGCCCCAAATTGCTGGGGTGCATACTATACTTGGTGTGCACCATCATTACAACTTGTGTATGTATGCAACCGTGTATTTATCCATCTATCTATGTACCTGTATACATATATGACTACGTTGAGCGACCACTTCATCTTCTTCGTGGCTACATATTTTCATGTTTCGTTTGTGCATATACAGCCTATGTGCTAGGCATACGTACATTGATCTACATATCCCTGAAGTACCTTCCCCTTGGGTCCATGTAGGTACGGCATGAGGTTTGATACCAGGGCGCCACTGACTCAGGCTTCAAGAAGTGGAAGGTGCCCAGCAAGAAAGTTTGCGAGGCAGAGCTTAAGTAAGCTTGGGGGCTGTAGGCTTCTAAGGGTTTAGCAATTTAGGGTTTGGGATTGCAGGGTTAAGGTTTTCAGGGCTTTGGCCACAACTTTGAAACGCATCGGCAGGTTGTCAACATGATAGGTAATTGCTGCCCTATTAGTGATTGTTGAGAAATACCCCAGCAGCGGCCCGCAATGGGACTCATACGGCCCAAGCAGCCTGTTAGGGTCATGATAACAATACGGATGTTATTGGAATGGAAATCGTTGGAACTCTCGGTGGCTTGAGAACGGCGATTTCGGGCAGGCGTCTGAAGATATGCGCTGAGATATTCAGACGTACGCATACATGCATGTATACACGCACGTGCACATGGAATCCCCGAACATGTGCTCCAGCATTGCCCAACATGATAGGCCAGCAGCGATTGGGAAGCATGCCTATGCAAGCACATGAATTATGTCTGCATGCTTGTCTGTGCTGATCTATCTTTTCATTCGTGTGTTAATTTGCCTACCTGTCCATCTTTCCGTCTGTCGACCCTATCTAGTTTTCTATCGGGCAGACGCAAGGACACCTCATGTTCTTGTGCAATGTGAGGCATTGCAGTTGCTTTAGCAGCTTGCAGTATCCCAACAAGTGCGCGCAAAGTGTTGCGATATCTCAAATGGCTGCTGTGTAAATGGTCGTCCAGGTCAGCAAGTGTTTCTCGATCAGATTATCATAATGCAGGTGACACGGAAAGCCAAGCAAAAACAAGGTAACGCAGCATCATACTTGGTACGGAAGCTCTGCCGAACAGGTGTCTTAGGAGATGGATATGGGTCTGGTTTAGGCATGCATGCTCCGGGGCATGATCTCATGCGCACCTTGGACGTAAGTGTGGGTTAGGCATGCTCTTCACACATTTCTCATGAAGCAAAAGTGCTTGAGGGCCTATGAAAGAGGATACTAGGAGTTGAGACCATAGCTGACGTGAACATACCGAAGAACCACGCAAACCGCAGTACTGGACATGGCAGGTGCGCCTTTGCGGGCCCTGGCCAGACCTTGAAGCTCATGTGGAAAGATACCGAAACAGCTCTGCCTAAGGCTCAGACAGGTTGCTTGAGAATTCTGCGCTACGACATTAGCCGCGGATCCATGCCCATGCCGCTAATCCGCTAATGAAGACTTTGCAGGTTGTAGCATAATCATGATATACTATGATTACCATTGCTACTACAGTACTGCAGTATGATTACTATTGTTGCTATGATTCCCTTCTTTACTATTCTTAGGAGGATGGGGTAATTCGGAATGTGACGAAGCCGAGGCCTGGGCAAATCCTTTGAAAGTAGGCTTATAGCCCCCCCTTTAAATACATGGAATATGGGGTTTTTGTGGATCTTATGATGATTTTGGGAATTCCATGTTCTATCTACTTAAGGGAACTATAGGGCTTTGGGACTTTATCATTGTGCTATGATTGCCATCGACTCCCCTAAACCCTAAACTCTACATAAACCCTAAACTCCCCGAGGTCATGCATCCCAGTGTTCCGGAAGAGTTCAAGCCCGCTCTCTTTGAGAATGGCAAACAGGTACCTTTCCCAAAGCCCTCCAAGGCTCGCGCGGTTTAAGGGGTTTAGGGTTTAGGGTTTAGGGTTCAGGGTTTAGGGTTTAGGGTTCAAGGTTTAGGGTTTTGGGTCTGTCCAAAAAACCTCCAAGGCTCGTGCTGTGTGCGGTAATTAGGGCCGCCTATTTCTGGAAGCTACCACATGATTTCCGAATTTCCTGTTGAGGGTTGTGAGTTCCCTTTGGCGTGCACTTTCAGTTTTGAGGTGGCAACGGTATTGAAACTGAAGATGAAACTCCATGTAGCGATTTTGAAGTTGTGTCAGGGTATGTCTGTGGATGTGCTGTTGAGTTTTTTTGAGAGAAGTTTGGGCTGTGGCTAATGCCATGCCAGGTGCCAAAGCCCCCGCAGATTCGAAAGCTGCCTGCGGGCCCGCTTGCAGAAGAAAAGCAGAAGGACGCTTTTGACATGCATGGTTGACAACCACCATGTGAGTTGAAGCCTCACTAGTATTATCGTAGTTTCCATTTTCTCCAGTCTTCCGCAACTCCCCTACATATCCCTATATATAACTATGGGGTTCTCTTTGGGCCTTAGGCCCTGGGATGTGCAAGGGGTAGTCTCTCTTAAGCATTCGGCAGGGTTGTTTCAATTTCAAGACACTGCCAGATTGTGTGGTAACTCATTAGGCCATTTCTGTAGCGGCATATGAAGGACTACAGTGGTTTGAGGTTACAAGGTAGGCCTGACTTTGAGTCATGGCCTAGTATGCGTGGCCAGCTGCAATAGACCAAGCTTGCATGGTGCATAGGGAGCCCAAACCCTAAACAAAGTAATCCTAAACCGTAAACTAAGTAGCCCCAGGACACAAATGTGCTCACCCCGGGATTGGTCCAGCGCAACTTCTGAGCTCCTGGTCGGTCTGGAGCCCAGGAGTGAGTTAAAAAGTTAAGGGGTTTGAGGGCTTGGAGCGTGGGGGTCAAAAGTTTAGGGCTTAGAGTTAAGGGTTTACAGTTTAGATCTTAAGAGTTTATGTGGGGTTTCGAGCTTAGATTTTAGAGTTTAGGGCTGAGAGTTTAGGGTCACCGGTTTGAGGGTAAGGGCAGTTGCTTTCTCGGTTGCTAGCATGGAATGCTGAAATGGAAACTATTGTGTTCTGTGGATTTGCATGAAGACCGCTGTGCATTAGGCATCCATCTTTCTCTTATGCCCACTGGCCAAGAGTAAGATGCGAGAGGTGTTAAAAGTGCACCAGTTGAGCCATAGTCTACACTCCTTAAACAGGCTTATGTAGGGGATTGTACAGGGGAGTATTGTACGTAAGGCTTGTTAAGGGGCATTCTAAGAGTTTAGACTATAGCTCACATGTACCCCCCGGCGCTCCTGAAGATCCAGGAAGCATCTCTCCTGTTTTTTACAAACAGTGACAGCTACAAGGATCGGAGCGCCATTGTACATGAACTGCAAAGTGGTGTCATTTCTGATTCGTTAGGATTCCGGGGAAAGGATCACCGATTTTGAGAAGGTTCTTGTTTGAAGATGGCAAGGTACCAGTGCGAGAGGATGCCGGAGACCCCAACTTTGATAACCTGCTCTTGGAGAGGGTTGAGGGTTTAGGGTTTAGGGAGGGGACCTCCTCAAGACTTCCTGAAAGCAGAGAACAGTGTGACACCGTAGTGGACAACACTTTCAGCCCAGCAGAGATTCTTCGATGGTCCTACGTTTGAGCAGAACCTGTTACCCTAGCCCTCAACACTAAAAAGTAGTGGCTTCCATTCTTCCATTATCCCCATATAATCCCTACATAATCTGTATAAGCCTAAGCCAGAGCTTGGAATGAGATCCAGTGCCAATGCTTTGAGATGAGGTACTTCCACCCTGCGTGACCCAGACATGGATTTGTTCTCATCCTGGAGGGTTTAGGGCTTAGGGTTTTGGGTTTAGGGTTGACTGCAGCCGCACCACAGTCAGTGTCCTGTAAACTTTCCCAGTAAGTGAGAAACACGTGAAACATTGAATTACGACCTGAGGTCTAAAGTCATATAAGAGGAGATTCTATGGGTCTCAGGTGGCACCAGAAGCCACTTTCAACCAAGGACCCTTTTGCAAGCAAGTCGTGCTGGAGCGGTCTGACATAGCCTTGGCGGGCCTCAGCTTCTCACAGTGCCATGTGAGTTGAAGCCCGAGTAATATGGCTTAATATGGCACTTTCCATGTTCTTTCCATTTCCCTAATGCCCCATACCCTTCCCAAACCCTTTATAGAAACACGAATGCGATGAATTAGCTGGAGGAGGAAGTGGGAATACTTGGAGGCCCATGGGATTTGGTAAATACTTATAATTGGGCTTCTAACCTTAATTATAATCCCCCCAAATGGGCTTGTAGGGGTTACCCCAATTATACGTAGGGTTATAACCCCAGTTATAAATAGTTACTCAGTTCCCTGCACCGCAATTCCTTTAGATTCATGGTAGGTTCCAAGCGTCCCTGATACATAGACCCCAACCTTATTGACAGAAAACCTCATGCAGCAAGTTTGCGCGAGGCAGGCAACTTGCGTGATTGTCAGAAGCAAGGACCCAGCCGCTGTACATGTAAGGCTTTGCAGCAGAACCTGAGAATTGCACTTCTCCGATGCCTGCCACTAGAGTGAAAGTGTGGAGAGGTTCTCATTGGGATTATGGTGTGGTCGGAGAAGAAAGTAGTTACTGGCTCCAGCTTGTTTTTCCCCTAACTCCAGGGCGTCTGCATCTCAGCTAAAGGCTGCAGTTCAAGCATAGCAGGGGCATGTCATGGCCCGTCAACTACCAGCTTGACCTTCACGAAGTTTTGGCGACAGAGTAGCGTGCAGACGCTTTTGGGTGACTGACTTCTGTACAGATCCCTTCAGCAACGCTTGAAGGGTCGGTGCGTCTGTTGCTGAGCTGCTTGCGATGTGGACCCCGCAGGTCAGGCAGGGCAGCCAGTGTTTGCCTTGAGCAAAGGCAGGCGCAACCATTTTGAAGATTCCTGGGTGGAGTTCAGGAATCATGCAAAATCAAGGACAGTGGCTCTTGGGGGTTGTCCAGGAAGGGTCCAATCTAAGTCAGGTTAGCGATAAAGTTTTGATTGTCACCTTGCCAGTCCAGACAAAGAACAGCCCCGGCTAGATGAATCTTCCAGACTTGCCCCGGGCATGCCTCCTTCAAGGATTCTGCTACACAGGGCCGTGGAAAAAGTTACAGGCAATGGAGGCATTCCTGGAACCTGTGCACTACTGGCTGCGGCATGTCAATTCATCGTAGACAAGGTCGTTCTGAATTCTAGAACATTTGACATGTTGGTGGCGTAGTGCCGAAGTCCAACATCTTTGCCGGCCAAAGGCACGCTGCCGCACAAGTGCACCCAAAGCGTCTCAGGGCGTTGAGGTTCTTCAGGTTTACCATTAATTAATTACCATCACTGCCGCCCCCACCGCTGCCGCCAACGCATGCCAACCGCCGCCGCTGTCGCCACCCCCACCACCGCCGCCATCCTCAACACGCCGCCGCCCCCGCCGCCGCCACCAAGAAAAGCAGCAACCCCCACCAACAGAATCATCAGCACCAGGCACAGGCACAAGCGCCAGCATCGCCAGCATTGGCACGAGCACCAGCACCAGCCGTCCACCAGCACCAGCACCATTAATGACCTAGTGCCACTGGCACCTGCCGTGCTGAGCAGAATGGTCCCCATAGGGTGTGTGTTTAGTTGTTAGCCAGGACTGTTTTCTCTACATAGAGAAGAGAGTATAGGGGTGCAGAGTTTGGTGGATGGATTCTATCATGGCGTCTTTCGGCATTGGGGTGGACACCAGAGGCATGGTCGAGTCAGAAGCCATTGCAACTTAGAAGACCTTTCTTGTCTGCAAGTGCAAGATCACTTTAGTACATGCCCGGGCATTCACTTAGTATCAGTGAGAAGAACTGCAAGCTGCCCTATTGTCGACCCATGATTAACAAACCACCTTCTTTTAAGGGCCTAAACATTAGGATCCCTATGATAATCCCTATTGAGGGGAGGGGTTTTCTTAATCAGGGGTCTGGGTTAGGAATCGCACAAGATTGCTTTGGGATGACTTCTGCAGCACAAGCGTCAGCGTAAATTGCGTTTGCAACATGGTTCCATCCAGGTGAAGCGAGGAATCTGTTACGTATTATAATATACTATATCATACTATATTATACTATGTTATGTTATGATGTTGTAGGATTGCAGCGTGAGACACCATCCATGGCAAAACCTGACGGAAGGTTCCCTTCGCTTGGCACCTGCAAAAAGGAACTGGCGAGCGAGTCGCCAGCGTAATGATTCCATCAATACCATAGAGGCGCATGAAGTTATATGATATTAGCAAAGATAAGGCTGCTACGATGTGCAACTGTGCTTGGGTTGTTTCTGCAGGGCTGGACAGCCACGGTATTATAGTAAACCAATTCAATCTTGCTCCATTGACGTCTTTTGTAATTGCACCACGGCTGCTGCAGGCAAGAGCACGTACCACTGGGCATGCCATCTCTGCGCATTGCGGCCACCAGGGTATACAGTGTGCATTTCATCCCGAGCACACTGCCGCGAATGCCGGCATGGCATGCCTGCTGCAAGGAAAATCAGCCAATTTCCATTTTCTTTTCCATTATCCCGATACAGCTGCAATATACTACAGTAGTTTCCATTTCGTTTTTCCATTATCCCTATATGGCCCCAATATACGCTAAACCCAAGATTGCCAAGCTGCAGCTTACTCTGCCGGCATGCTCTGTGAAGACTTACCCAGGTTCATGTTTGCACCAGAGGCCATGCCACGAAGCACTGCCTCATGGACCTCAAAGGTCGTTTCAGTTTGCTGGGGCGCCTGCACTCAGCAGCGAATGTCAATAGACTGCCGGGCACTGCGCCCCCTCCGATATCATGTGATAGAATAGTGACTTGATCTGTAAGAAGTTGAGAGCTATTCCAGCGACGGATGCGGCGCAGCTCGCCAAGCGCGCTGCCTCGTTTACCAGTGAACTGCCTGCCCGCTGAAGGCAGAAGGAGACTAAGATTTCTCAAATCGACTTGGCAAAAGCACCCGCAAAAGACTGAGATGCATCGGCTCAAGTTCACAGAGTGTCTTGCGCAGGCTTTTTTAGCTACCTCATGCTGTCTTGAGAGTGGCCAGATTCCTTCTTCGAGCTTCGACAGATAGTCGCCTTAATCCGCGCAGGGGCCGCTTAATTCTGGATGATTATTGGGTCATATGGGGAGTATACAGGAAGAATGGAAGAACAATTACACAACAAAAATACTCCCATTGTGGTATATCAGAATACATTGGGAATGTTGTATATCAGAAAATGGGGGGGTGTTTTAATATCAGGGCGAGAGGACTACTTGTACAGCAACAACCCTAAACCCTAAGCCCTAAACCCTAAAGTGTTTACTGCTGAGATCAGACTTGAAGGGCCATGCTGTACATAATACATCTCTACGTCCTGTTCTAGTCGATGGTTTAGGCCCAAATCTTAGCATCTTCCCTAAACCCTAAACTTGGCCCTACCTGGACCCCAAAAGTAGGTAACATACTAGCCCAAACCCCCTTCAATTAGCCTAAAAGGCCATTATTGTACCTTCCTTTAGGGTTCAAGTAAGCCCTATCTAACAGAACCCCTCGGCCAGCAGCCAAGGTGTTTCATTCGTGTTCGTAATTGTTTGGGGCCCTATTTGCAATCGTAGTATTGGCGCGTAGTCATAGTATGTCGCGGACGGTCATGTCATGAAATGTGCATTTGGTGAGTTTCCAACACCTCATGGTAGAAGAGCCCTAAGTTGAGGCGCCTTCAGGTCCACCCCCTACGTTATCCCAAGATATATCCTACTACAATATAGTAAGTCCTTTCCCATTACTCC